TTAAACTCCCATTTCTGCTTCAGCGTGTATGGAGAATTCAAATAGTTTACCATATTTAGACTGATAACAGCTTTATTTTTCTCCTCCTCGACATTGATGATTGCTCCTTTCTGCAGCTGTTGGTTATATAACTTGGACATCTCGCGTTGAAGTCTTTTCATTTCTGCATCAGCATGATAAACAATCTACAATAGTAACAAAATATTTGAATAATTCAAAGAATTCTGAAGTTTGATGGTTTGAATGGTTTGGAATTTCATTATGACGTCACAGTATATTTTCATCGGAAAACGATGCTCAAAAAACGGTGGAAATACACCTTTTCAATTGCACTTAGGCCTCAATAGCAAGTTAGTTATTCTTTTGAATTTAACAAATGAGACTATTCATATCAATGTGTGCATTGCTCACATTCCTACAAATTCAAAAGAATATTTAACACGCTGTCAAGGCCTAAGAGCAACTGAAAAGGTGTATTTGGGTCCATTTATATTGTATCCTAAAGTAGAACTTTAGATATATTATGTATTTATAAATGGTTTCAAATGTACATTTTATTTGATATACAGTCACTATGATTCCCTCTGGAGAACATAATCCTTAGCGTTAAGATGTTTTGATTTGACGTCATAATGAACTAGGGCAATTTAGAGGAACTGAAAACCACCACAAAAGGAAATGCATTTGTTTTGTATCTACAAGTTCTCTGACGGTAAGTAAAATATGTTGAATGTACCTTTTCTTCATTGTCGTCCAAATCAGGTGCTGATTTGAGTGCATCCAAGTCATAGGTGATTGGTTCACGACACATTGGACAAATAATCTGCTAAGAAACAATTCAAAATTCACTATTACAGACATTCATTTAAACCTTTTCAGACTTTTGTATTTCATTCTTATCGATAGGGGGAGTGATTTTTAATAATATAATACCAGTATATTGTCTAATAGTGAAATACATTTGGTTGTTTGCAGTAACAAATGAAGATTTAAAACTTTTTGTGAATGTAATTCCTATAACATCTATTGGATTTTTTCCTCTTGGACATCCCATAATTTTGAAATTATTTACGATGACAGTCATATCAGTAATAATTGCCCTAGTTCATTATGACGTCACATCAAAACATTCTATTGTTTTAACGCTAAGGATTATGGTCGCCAGAAGGGATCAGAGTGACTGCATATCAAATAAGATGTACATGAACAATCATAAATACATGATGTATATCAAAACGTGATTCATTGAAGTTCTACTTTAGTCGACAATATAAATGGGTCCAAATTTCCACTGTTTTTGAGCATCGTTTTCCGATGTAAACATACTGTGACGTCATAATGAAATAGGGCAATTATCAAACATAAAAACACTAATCATACTTGTGCACTGCTGTCATCGCTATTTTCATCACAGTGGTTGAGATGATAGTCGATGTATCTGAGTAAGCAGTGACAATGAAAATAATGATAGCAGTCCGTTTTGGTAAAACAGTCGTGATCCTGCGATAGAAAAGAAAAATGTCAATCAATAAAAGAATCTCTAAGGAACAGATACATTGTATAATTACAATTATATAAATTAATTTTTGATACCAAATGGAAG